CACACACAGACACACGCACACAGACACACACACACAGACACACACAACACACACAACACACAACACACAACACACAACACACACAACACACATAACACACAACACACACAACACACAACACACAACACACACAACACACACAACACACACAACACACAACACACACACAACACACACAACACACACAACACGCACAACACACAGAACACACACAACACACACAACACACACAACACACACAACACACACAACACACACAACACACACAACACACACAACACACAACACACAACACACACACAACACACACAACACGCACAACACACACAACACACCCAACACACACAACACACACAGACAGACAGAGACAGACAGACACACACACACACAACACACACACACGCACACGCACACTCACACGCACACGCACACTCACACGCACACGCACACGCACACGCACACGCACACGCACACGCACACGCACACGCACACGCACACGCACATGCACACGCGCGCACGCGCGCACGCGCGCACGCGCGCACGCGCACACGTGCACACGCGCACACGCGCACACGCGCACACGCGCACACGCGCACACACGCACACACGCACACACGCACACACGCACACACGCACACACGCACACACTCACACACGCACCACACTCACACACGCACGCACGCACCACCACCACACACGCAACAACGCACAACACGCACGCACGCACGCACGCACGCACGCACGCACGCACGCTCGCACGCTCGCACGCACGCACGCACGCACGCACGCGCGCGCACGCACGCACGCACGCACGCACGCACGCACGCACGCACTCACGCTCTCGCGCACGCGCGCACGCGCGCACGCGCGCACGCGCGCACGCGCGCACCCGCACCCGCACCCGCACCCGCACCCGCACCCGCACCCGCACCCGCACCCGCACCGGCACAGGCACAGGCACAGGCACAGGCACACGCACGCGCACGCGCACGCGCACGCGCACACGCACACGCACACGCACACGCACACGCACACGCACACGCACACGCACACGCACACGCACACGCACACGCACACGCACCCGCACCCGCACACGCACACGCACACGCACAGCCACAGCCACAGCCACAGCCACAGCCACAGCCACAGCCACAGCCACAGCCACAGCCACAGCCACAGCCACAGACATAGGCACAGACACAGACACAGACACAGACACAGACACAGACACAGACACAGACACAGACACAGGCACAGGCACAGGCACAGGTACAGGCACAGGCACAGGCACAGGCACAGACACAGGCACAGGCACAGGCACAGGCACAGGCGCAGGCGCAGGCACAGGCGCAGGCGCAGGCACAGGCACAGGCACAGGCACATGCACATCACCTGCACATGCACGTACACGTACACGTACACGTACACGTACACGTACACGTACACGTACAAGTACACGTACACGTACACGTACACGTACACGTACACGTACACGTACACGTACACGTACACGTACACGTACACGTACACGTACACGTACGTACACGTACACGTACACGTACACGTACACGTACACGTACATGTACACGTACACGTACACGTACACGTACACGTACACGTACACGTACACGTACACGTACACGTACACGTACACGTACACGTACACGTACACGTACACGTACACGTACATGTACACGTACACGTACACGTACACGTACACGTACACGTACACGTACACGTACACGTACACGTACACGTACACGTACACATTCACATACACATACACATACACACGCACACACGCACGCACGCACGCACCCCGTCACGCATGCACGCACGCAAGCACACACACACACACCTGCTCCCGGCCCTCGCTGGGTTCTCGAGAGGGCGCCGCGCCCGCAATTTTCCCGGGCCTACGCCCGCCCGCCGGATCTGGTGCGGGGTCCGTTTCATTGGATGGTGTGTTGCTGAAGGGGGTCTGTGCACCCGCGATCTCAATGCTTGACGGCCCTTCTCCAATCGATCTGTGGGGGCAGCGCTGCACGACCCTCGTGCTTGCCAGGGGAGCTCTGAGGAGGAGGAAGAAGGGGAGGAGGAGGATCTGGAGTAAGGTGAGGAGGATGATGATGATGATGATGATGAGGAGGAGGAGGAGGAGGAGGAGGAGGAGGAGGAGGAGGAGGAGGAGGAGGAGGAGGTGGAGCAGGAGGAAGGGGAGGGGGAGGAGGAGGAGTAGGAGGAGGAGGAGGAGGAGCAGGAGGAGGAGGAGCAGGTGGAGGAGGAGTAGGAGGAGGAGGAGGTGGAGGAGGAGGAGGAGGGGGAGGGGCAAGAAGAGGTTTCCTCCTGGTCGGTGCACGCCCCAGGGTCGGAGGCGGCAGGGCCGCGGGCGGGCCGCCTGGGAGCCCCCGCGGCCAGGTCCTCCTGCACGTGCGCGGGCCGCCCCCGCCGCCGCCCCCAGAGTCGAAGAGGCCAGCCGGCAAGAGCGCGCCGAGTGCGGAGGAGGAGGGCCCGCTGCTTGATAGTTCGGGAGTTCGTGGGGGCCGTATTTACCTACACATACACGGATGTATTCATTCGTAGACATCAAAAAGGTGTAGATTCAGCTCTTTTCGCAGTGAGTTGTCCACTCCACTGCTCGCGCAATACTCCCACCCACCCACCCGCAATTTGGTTTGAAAAGCCCATGCGGCGGCGATTCCGATGAGTGCTTGGCGTTGGCTGGTGCATCTCTGCGGCCGCGCTGGCTCGCGCCTGCTCGCGCGCACACGGGCCAGCTACTTTGGCGCGACCGACGCGGCCGCGGTGCGCTGACCGCTGGGCACTTCCCAATGGGCACTTCGGTGCGAGTCGGTGACTGGGGCGGGCGCGGTATCATGGCGACGCCGACAATTGTAGACACGAGTATGAAATTTGCGATGATGGTGGCGATGGTGGCGATGACGACGGTAAAGCCCATGACGGCGCCGATGTTGATCACGGCCGCCGATAACGATGACGATGTCTTCGCGTCAGCGATGGAGGTTTTTGGAGGAGTTCGACATGCGCGCGAGGCCGACGCGCGCGATTGGCCCGCGTGGCATTGTTTCACACGGATCGTGCCACCCCCTTCCCGAGCACGCGCGCAAGGGCGTCCGAATGAATTCGGCATGCGGCGCGAAAGGCGTGTTTGGCAGACTTTGATGAGCTTGTTGGAAAACCGATGGCTTTATTAAGGATCCTGAAGAGCGCTAGCGCCAGATTTTTTGAACTCGAATGTTGAAAACCGTATGTGCCTTACATGTCTTCGGGACGCTCGGCTTGACATCGGCTTATCTATATATTTTTTTATGTATATATACATACATAAGGATTTCGGCACTCGCGCGTGACAGCGCGCGCGTGCACTTCGTCCCGTTCTTTGTTTGCCAGGGGTTCTTGCGACAGCACGCGCGCAAGGGCTTTCGCACGATGTCGACACGCGTGCGCGTGAGGCCAGTTTGGAAGCAGTTTTTGAACATGTTGAGAAACATAATGCTGTAACAGAAAATATCTGCAAGAGTGCGAGCGCATTTGTTTGAACATCTGTTTTGCAAAACCATTTGTTATTTTTTTTATCTAGTTCGTGGCACCCGATTTTGAAATCCTTACGAACCGAATGCTGTTCAAGGATTTCGGCAACCGCGCGCGACAACGTCCGCGTGTGCACTTCGTAAACTGTTTTGCAAGGGGTTCTTGCGACAGCACGCGCGCATGGGCGTTCGAACGATTTCCGGCACGCGCGCGCGAGAGGCAAAGTTGAAGGCGTTATTTGCACATGTGGCAAAACTTGTAGTTTTCGTAAGAATTCGCAAGACCGCGGACGCAAACTTGTTTTGAAACTTTTGGTGCGAGACCACGATTTTTTGTATAAGCACAAAAAGAGATGTCTTCGTGACGCTCGATTTTAAAATCTTTACGGAATCAGAGAAGTTGTTCAAGGATTTCGGCATGCGCGCGCCACGACGCGCGCGCGTGTGCACTTCGTCCCGTTTCTCTGCAAAAGATGTTTGGAAACCTGCGATTTTTGAGAAACGAGAGGTCGCTCATAGTGTTTTTTGCAGAAGATGGCGGGGGGGGGGGTCGATACCAGCCTGGCTGTGGTGCTATGAACTCATTTTTAGGATGGACGGTGGGGCAGAACTGCATGCAAATTGCAATGCGAAAGAGGCGAACGGTTAAGTCGGGGGGGATCAATTTTTCCAGAAAGGAGAAAACGTACACATATGTATTGGTATATGTGTATATATAGATACATGCATAAAAGATGTTACCCGCTCGCTGCGCCTCGCTTTCAAGATCTTGATCGCATGGCGCATGAAAGGCCCGCCGCAACCGGCACACGCCAGTACCGCGATACCCTTCAGCAAAGGTGTCCGTGGGTCACGCGAAGCTGACAGGACCCATGGACTCTACCGCGACAGAGGCCTCGAAGGCCTCTCCGCCGCCATCGGGGTTCAGAGGCTCGGAGCCTTCATTGATGGGCATCATCCGGTTCCGAGGGCCCGCAGGCGTGATTGGGTGCATATGGTTTCACGGGCTGATGAGCTCATTCGGGTTCCAGGGCGTGTAGGGCCTTTGCCAAACAGACGTCACGAGCTCTTGGGCCCCATAGCGGGCGGGCTCATCGATCTTATGAGGCTCATAATGCTCATAGGGGTCATAGTGCCCAACGTGCTCATAAGGCTCACAGGTTTCAGAATGGGTCGTGGGGATCTTAGGGCTCATATGGCCCATGGGGCTCATACGGCTCATAAGGGTTGCGGAGGCTCCTTGGGGCTATGCGGCTCGTAGGGCCCGTGGGGTAGAGCTCAGAGGGCTCGCAGGGCTGATGAGACTCATAGGCGACATAGGGCTTACAAGGCTCACTGAGTTCGTAGGGCTCATAAGGCTTGTCGGGGTCTCATGGCTCAGACGGCTTACGATATTATAGGCTCACAGGCGACATAGGGCTCAGAGGGCCCACGAACCTCACAGGGCTCATAGGGTCGATCGGGGTCATGCGGCACGCACGGCCCGTGGGGGTCAAAGGGCTTATGGGTTTCGGAGGGGCCACAGGGGTCACAGGGCTCATAGGGCTTTTAGGGGTCATAGGGCTCATGGTGCTCATAGTGGCCATTTGTGTTCATAGGGGCCGTAGGGCTCGCAGCACTCAGGACGTCGATGTGCTCGCGGCCATCAAGCTCATGTAGACTGATGGTGCCGCGTCCACTGGACGCTTGAGAGCAGGGTCGCCCGTGAGCTCCTGGGGAGGTGTCTGGGGGGCCTCTTGGAGGACACACAGGGCTCATTGGGATCAGAGGGCTCGTAGGGGTGATCGGTCTCGGAGGGGTCGAAGCATCAGGATCATGGAGCTCGTAGGGGTTGAGGTGCGTACGATGTCGTGAGGAGCATCAGGTCATAGCGCGCATTGCGCTCGTGAGCTGATGTGGTGCATAGGGGTCGTAGGGCTCTTTGGCAATCGGGGGTGAGGCTGAGGCTGAGGGCTCGTAGCACTGACAGGGGTCGTAGGATTCGTAGATCTCGAAGGGCTCGTAAGGGTCGTCGGGCTCATAGGTGTCGCAGGGCTCAGGAGCTCGTTGGGCTCATGGGCTCGTAGGGCTGATGGGGCGCATAGGGCTCACAGGGGAGGGTCTCGGGCGCCTTGGAGGGCGCGTAGGGCTCATAGGCCTCACAGGGCTCATGGGGCTCGTATGGCTCATTGGGTTCGTAGATGTCGTAGTGCTCATAGGTGTCAACAGGATCATTGTGTTCGCAGGGGTTGTCAGGCACACGAGGTCGATCAGGCTTCAGGGTCATATGGCGCATCCAGCTCAAACGGGTAGTCGAGCTTGTGGGGATTCCGGGAGGGGGCTCTTGAGAGCATTTTGGGAGCTTTGAAGGCGTCATGTGGGCCTCCTTGATTCTGTGGCAGTGTCCAGGACCATCTTTGGGGGTAGGGCTCGAAATGTCAATTCGGTTTTTTGGGGCCATCTTGAGGCTTCTTGCGGAGCCTTTTGGGCAGTCTGGAGGCCTTCGTGGGCCAGTTTGGGGCCTCCCGAGGAGCCACTTCCGTCTTGGCAAAAGCGCGCGCACTTTGGGATGTATCAGAACATCTATTATTTTTGCCATCCGGAGCCCTCTTGGGGACATCTTGGGGCTCTCGTGGGGCCGAACGTCCATCCCAACCTGAACGCCAGAACCCTAACACCGTAGCATTAACGTTGACCCTGACATCCCAACCCGAACTCAACCACCGAAGCCCGAACACCCCAACCCGAGCACCTTGACCCGGACACCCGAGTTCCAATATCCAAACCTGAACAACATGACCCCACAATTCTAACACCGAACGCCTCATCCGAACACAGCAAGTATACTCGGAGGTACCTGGCAAGCCTCCTGGAGGCCTAGGAAATGCACGTGTTTGGCCTCTCTGGGCTTTTTGGGGGGTCCTCTTGGGGCTCTTTTGAACGGTTCTCCAGCCCTCTTGAACCGTCCTGGGGTCCTTCTGGGCTGTCTTGTCGGGCGTTCACCGTCTTGGGGCTTTGCTGGACGCCTCCTTGAGGGCCTTGTGGGACCATCTCGGGCCATGTTGGGCGGTCTTGGGGCCCTCTTGGACCGTCTAGCGGCGTTTTGAGGGGCCTCTTGGGCCGTCTCTTGTTGCGATCTCGCAGGCCGTCAAAGCCTTCTTGGGCCGCTCTTTGGACGAACAGGCGGGAATTACAAAGTCTTCCAATTACTATCACGGTCGGAAACCAAATGATAATATTTTCAGCTTGGCTCTGATCTCCTCCTGCTCCCTCCTCCTACCCCCTCCTGCCTTCTCCTCCTCCCCCCCTGCCTTATCCTCCTGCCTCCTCCTCCTCCTCCTGCGTTCTCCTCCTCGTCGTTGTCCTCCTCCTCCACCTTTTGTTCTTTCTCCCTCTCCAATTCTCCTCATGCACCTCCCCTTCCTCCGGACCAGGGCACGCATGTCGATTTTCCTTGGCGCTCTCGCCACCACGGCCTGCATGCGCGCTGTGTCCGCTGGCCGGACCGCGAAGCCGTTGCGGCAACCCCGCGGGCTAGGCCGTTGGGACAATCCCGTGGGCCGCTGGGGCGCGGGAGCAAGCCGTCGAGACAACCCCGCGGGCCTCAAGCTGGGCGCCGCCGCGCTCAGGTTAGAGGCAATGCGATGCCTAGCTCTGCCGCGAGCCCCGCCTCAGTCCTGGAGCTCGCAGCCCTGTTGTCGAACATGGAGGTGGGGACCCATAGGGTCGCGATTCACTCACAGACGCCGCCCCCTTTCGAAACGTCCTGCAGAGTCAGGCCTGAGGAGTCCAAAAGTGCTGGCGGTAGTGACCCGCTCGGATACGAGCATGAAGGTGGGGACACCATAGGGCGGCGCTCCCGCCCAAAACTTCCTCGCGACTCACTCACAGACGAGGCTCCCGCTCGAGACGTCCTCCATATGCAGGCCTGGAGATCCCAAGTTCAGATGGCCCGCTCGGATCCGAACACAGGTGGAGGCCCCATAGGGCGGCGCTCCCGCTCACAGTTTCCTCGCGAGTGATTCACGGACGAGGCTCCCGCTCGAGACATCCTCCATATTCAGACCTGGGGAACCACACCGTGACGACATTACAAGTTTGAGGCCGACCCGCTGGGATTAACAAGAGTGAAATGCGGGCCCCACAGGGAGGGGGGTCCCGCCTGAGACGTCCTCGCAATTCACTCACACACGAGGCTCCCGCTTTACATGTCATCCATATTCGAACCAGTCGAGCCGAAACGCGACGACAGTTACAGGTTTGAGGATAACACGCTGGGATTAACAAGCCTGAATTGCGGGCCCCATTGGAAAAGGGGTCCCGCCTGAGATGTCCTCGCGATTCACTCACACACGGGGCCCCCGCTCGGGACTTGTTCCACATTCAGGCCCGGGGAGCACAACATTGACGGCCGTTATGAGTTTGAGGTTCACCCGCTGGGATAAACGAGCGTGACATGCGGGCCCCGTAGGGAGCGGGCTCCCGCCTGAGACTTCCTTGCGACGCGCTCGCAAACGAGGCTTCCGCCCGACATTTCTTCCAGATCCAGGCCCGGGGAGCCCAAGGGTGACGACAGTTACAGGATTGACGACGATCCCCTGGGATTGAAAAGGCTCACAGACGGTGTTCTCGTTTGAGACATCCTCCATTCAAGGCAAAGGGAACCCAAAAGTTACGACAGTTGCAAATTTAAGGATGCCCCCCTGGGATTAAACATGTGGAATGCGGGCACCATAGGAAGGGGGCTCCCGCTTGAGACTTCGTCGCGATTCACGCACAGACGAAGCTGTCGCTCGAGACCTCCTCCATATTCCGGCATGAAGCGCGAGACTCACAGAGGAGGGTTTTCCGCTCGAGACCCCCTGGAGCCTGGAGGTGAGTATGTGATTGTGTGTGAGCGTGAGAGAGAGTGTGCGGTGGGTGCGTGAGTGCGTCTAAGATGATGACGGTGGCGGTGATGACGATAGTGATGATCATGATGTGATGGCGAGTGAGTGAGTGAGTCAGTGAGTGAGTGAGTGAGTGATTGAGTGAGTGAATGAGTGATGAGTAAGTGAGTGAATGAGTGCGTGAGTGAGCGAGATGGTGAGTGAGTGAGTGAGTGAGTGAGCAAGTGAGTGACTGAGTGAGTGAGCGAGTGGGGTGCTGATGAGGATGTGAGTGCGAACGAAACAAAAAGAGGGGGTGAAGGGTTGCTGCGCGGGGGGGCGTCCAGAGAAAATAAGAACCTCACTTAGGAGGTGGAGAAAACTGAAGGAACATCCGCATTGTTTGCCTCCTCGAGCCCTCTCGGGGGTCCTCTTAGGAGCCTTTAGGGGCGCCCAGGGAAGGCTTGCAAGCCGTCTTGAGGCCGTACTGGGTCGCCGCGGGGCCTCTTTGACACTGTCGGGCCCTTTCGGGCTGTTCTTGAAACGGTTTTGGGCCGTTCCGGTGTTCCGTGGGACCGTCCGGGAGGCGACCTTGGGCCCTCTCGGGCGGTGGGGGCGCACATGGCCGAATTGATGTACGGGGAGTGCGGGGGTGCGTCTCTTATAAGAATATCAGACATTTTTAGACATGTAGATAGATGCATCTGTCTGTACATGTATGTTTATATATGTACATATGTATATATGTGTATATACATATTTCTATCGACATCTATATTCAGAGACAGTGTGGGAGAGAGAAGAAGGGGGAGAGAGAGATAGAGAGAGAGAGGGGGGAAGAGAGAGAAAGGGAGAGAGAGAGAGAGAAACAAACAAAAAACAACCAACAACATAGGGAGGGAGAGGGGGAAGAGAGGGGCAGGCAGACAGACAGACAGGCAGACAGACAGACATGCAGGTAGGCAGGCAGGCAGGCAGGCAGGCAGACGGACAGTCGGACGGACTGACCGACAGACAGACAGACAGACAGACAGACACTAAATAGAGGGAGAGCGAGGGAGACAGGACAGAGATAGTTAACTTGGACCGTGTCAGAGAGCCAGGAGAGTCTGAGACCCCAACTTCTACTTCCAAACGGCTGCCTCATCTGTGGCTTACAAAGGTTCGTCACATGTGCATGACGCGGTCAGGGCGAGAGCTGGATACGTGTGGCCGTATGCTTTTCCACCGCTCTGGGTCCTCTCATGCACGGGTTCGCGGGCTCCGCATGTGTACCCAGCACCAGGCCTCCGCACGTTCCGCATGTGAATCTAGCCGTGTGTGTGTGTGTGTGTTTGCATGTGCTCCAGTCTCGAGCATCTTGCTGATCTCCAGCCTGTGCACCCCCAGTCGCTCCCACTTTTGTCTCCCTGCCTCGGCTGCACCTCCCGGAAGGCTTCGCGCAGCGAGGTTCCCTATGCGTGGAGCCTGCGCGACCCCTCAGGGCCGCCAGGGTGCTCAGCCGCGGCCGCCGCGCAACTACTGCCGCACGCCTGACTCCGCCGCGCTGCTGCCCGCGCGACCGCGACGCCGAAAAGCGTGTGTGTTCCAGCCTCCCCCTGCGGCCGGGCTGGCCTGGTCTGGCCCCAGGCCAGGCCAGCCCGGCCGCAGCCAGCATCCACGAGCAGCGTAAGCAAATCGACCTGCAGGCTGCGCTTGTGGGTCATCCAGCTCCCTGATGCAACCCCATCCTGGCAGCTTTCGCTTGCGATTCGCTTGCAAAAGCAGAGATGGTCTGACCCCAGGCGGGCCAGACAAAGGAGGGCCTAGACCACTGGCTGGGCCCAGCTGGGGAGCCAGACCTGGTCCTTGTGTTGGGTCCACGCTGGCTAACACTCGATATGTCTCGCATGCATGCCTCACCATGCAAAATAGTATTTGGGAGGCCACGGCCTCATCCACCTGGTCTCAAGTAGACCAGGACTGCTGTCCGAATTGGTGGTTGTTCGTTCCTTCTTTCCTGCCCCGGCTTGGATCGAACCGGGCAGGCCTGGCCAGCCCTGCACATCCCTCTTCGCCCACCGGTCCCCCTCACCACAGCAGTTCCTCCCGTGCGTTGCGGCTTACAGTGGGGGACCTCCTCGTCCGTAACCTCTTTGGCTCGAGCCCCTTCCCCTTGGGGGGGGGAGGGGGGGGGAGGTCGGCTCCCCTCGCGGAGTGATTCGGCTGACGTGCACCAGCGAACAAGAGGGCTTGGGAAGTGATGGGGGGTCGGGTTGAAAAGGGGGAGGATCAGGGGGTCTTGCACTTCTTCCTTCCATGCTCCCCGCTCCTCCCTCATCCCCCATCCTCTTTCTGGGGGGGGGTGCGCCGCACCCCCCCTCTTTCCCTCCCTTGGACGACGGCAGCGATGTATTGAGTGACACCGGTCCTGGTCAGAGTCAGTCGTCCGTCGTCCCACCCCCTCAAGGTAACAAGATTGCCTACAGGCGGCCCAGATTGGTAGGTCGACCCTGCCAGATCAAGGGTACCCTCGTGTCCCGTGTCTTGCGACCCGTGCCTCCTGCATGTCTGTGGCAGCGTGGCCCTCGGAGGGGTCCTGTGTCCTCTCGCGTGTCCTCCCCGATCAAGTCCGACTGTACGATCCGTTTTTTCGATGCGATTCGATTCGCTGGCCATGGCCGCCAGCCTGGTTCGACTCGATCCGGTCCAATTCGCTGGCGTCGGCCAGGGCCAGCCGGCCAGACCCAGGCGCGGCGATCCGACTCCGATCCGATTCGGGATGCTTCCCTGGCGCTGCGATCTGTCTCCGATCCGGTCCGATCTCGCGATTCGGTCCAGCTCGTGCCTGCCAGACAGGCATCCAGAGGCCTCCTGGGTCTCCCGCCGGCCCGGGAACGGGCCCGATTGGCCCAAGAGCCTTTTTTTACCCCCGGGGCGATCCCTCGCCCGCGCCCGGATGCCCCCCCCCCCGCCCCGCCGCCCCCCTCGCTGCCTCGCGTCGCTCGGAGGAGCAGAAGAAGGAGAAGCGCGAGAAGAAGGAGCGCCGCCAGCGCGCCCGTGCCCCCTGCGGGGCCCCTCTCTGACGGGCGGTCTGGCCTGGCGGCAGCGGGGCCCCAGGGGGCGGCGGTGGCCACCGCTCGCGGGGCGGCGGTGGCCACCGCTCCGCGGCAGAAGTCACGACGGCCGCTTTTTGGAAGTGGTCGGCCACCGGGCCGCCCCTGCCTTGGAGGGCCGTCAGCAAAGCTGCTCAGGATGGGAAGCCAGTCCGCGGGGGGAGAGAGGTCCAGGGCTCTGGGGAGCCATGCCGCGACCCGAACCGCGACGCCGGACGTCTGGGGGGGCACCGGGGAGCGGAAGCGGGGAGGAGCAGGAGGGCGCGAGGGGGTCACGGGAGAGGGCGTGTGCGTGTTCACTCCGAGGAGGGACCTCTCGGCACGCCGCAGTGGCCGTGGCTGCGTCCGTCGGCCGATGGGAGGGGCAGGAGGGCGCGCGGGGGGCACGGGAGAGGGCGCGTGCGTGTTCGCTCCGAGGAGGGACCTCTCGGCACGCCGCAGTGGCCGTGGCTGCCTCGGCCAGCGGGGCACCGCCGCGGCCGCGCGCGCCACGGCCGTGCGCGCCGCGGCGCGGCCGCCCTGGGGCGTCGAAGGGGAGAGAGTCCCAGGGTCAAAGCCCTCGGTGATGAGAACTCGTGCTTGGTTGAAGCATTCACGATTGAGCTTGCCAGCTTTCTTGGCCCTGCGTTGTTGCATGGGCCTTTTGGCGTCCTCGGTCGGTTCCTTTCGGGTTCGCCTTTCTGGCCCTCGCTTCGCTCGTTTCTCGGGCCCTCGTTCGGTCCCCTCGTCAATGTCTTTCAGAGGAGCTGAGGCTTGAAGGGGGACCGCGCCCAAATGAAGAGGAGGAGAGAGATACGAGGGTCGGTCGGACTCGGCATTGCAGCAGTCTGCGCGCCGTCTTGCTGAAATACTTGCACCCCGAGAGCCCATGGGGGTTCTCTAGTTTTGGCCATCACACCCTTCCCAGCGAAGGGAGGCCCAGCCCTGAGTCCCAGGCGGCCCAACGCACAGAAACGAGAGGGCGGCGGACGGCGCGAAGCGCTAGAAGCGACAGTGCTGAACACAAGGAAAACAGGCATTCGGCCCGAGGGAGGGTTAGAGGAGCAACGAATGACACGAACAGAAGCTTTTGGAGGTCCGCGCGGATTTCTTGGATCGGCGCTGGAACCCGCTCCCTGGCGCGCGGAGCGCGCCAGGGGCGGCGCTGCAGGCAAGCGAAAGTAGAATGTTAATGCTGTTTTTGATTTCCCGCAGGACGGAGGAGCGCCGCAGAGGAGGATGTGGGAGAAGGGAGGGAAGGAGGAGGAGGAGGAGGAGGAGGAGGAGGAGGAGGAGGAGGAGGAGGAGGAGGAGGAGGAGGAGGAGGAGGGAGGAGGAGGTGGAGGAGGAGGAGGAGGAGGAGGCAGGGGAGGGGTCTCTTCAGACCAAAAGCGTCCGCGGCTCGACACGCGAACGAGCTTTGCCTGCAACGGGGCCAGAGGCGGAGCGGAGAAATGCAGTGCACAGTTCAGGCGGACGGCGGGTAGCAGCGACCACAGGGAGGAGGAGGAAGAGGAGGAGGAGGAGGAGGAGGAGGAGGAGGAGGAGGAGGAGGAGGTGGTGAGGAGGAGGGAGGAGGAGAGGAGGAGGAGGAGGAGGAGGAGGAGGAGGAGGAGGAGGAGGAGGAGGAGGAGGAGGAGGAGGAGGAGGAGGAGGAGGAGGAGGAGGAGGAGGAGTTGGAGGAGGAGGAGGAGGAGGAGGAGGAGGAGGAGGAGGGAGGGGGGGGCGGTATTGGTGTGCACGAGCGCAGTTCGCATCGCGGCCTCGGCGCACGTCGAGTGCGACAACCGCGCCGACAGAGTACCCCCTTGCGCACGGCCCCGGGCCCCAGCCCGCGACGACCGTGTCGCTGAGGAGTTGCAGTTTCAAGGATGGGGGGAGGAGTCGCAGTTGGAGGAGGAGGGAGATGATGATGATGATGATGATGATGATGATGATGATGATGATGATGGTGGTGGTGGTGGTGGTGGTGGTGGTGGTGGTGATGATGATGATGATGATGGTGATGATGATGATGATGATGATGATGATGGTGATGGTGATGGTGATGGTGATGGTGATGATGATGACGACGATGATGATGATGCTGATGATGAGGATGATGATGATGATTATGGTGGTGGTGGTGATGATGATGCTGCTGATGATGATGCTGCTGATACTGATGATGATGATGATTATGTTTCTGATTATGATGATGATGCTGATGAAGATGCTGATGCTGATTATGATTATGATGCTGCTGATGATGGTGATGCTGATGATGATGATTATGATGAAGAGGAGGATGAGGTGGACGAGAATGAGGATGAGGATGATGCTGATGATGATGATGCCGATTATGATGGTGATAACGATGATGGTGATGATGATGATGATGATTATGATGATGCTGATGCTGATGAGGATGATGATGATTATGATGATGCTGATGATGCTGATGCTGATCATGATGATGATGATGATGATGATGCTGATGATGATGATGATGATGATGCTGATGATGATGATGATTATGATGATGATGATGATGATGATGATGATGATGATGATGATGCTGATGATGATGCTGATGATGATGACCATGATCATGAGCATGAGCACGCACACACAGGCGCTGACCCAACATGGGCGAACTGCGCGGAATTCATGGGTTGCAGTAGGTAGAGACATGCCTGGTGGGCCGCTTCGGCTCAAAAGGGTTCTCGAACTCAGGGGTTCCTGTAGCCTCGGGGGGCACTTGTAGCTTCGTAGGGGTACCTGTAGCCTGTGTGGGGGGTATCTGTAGTTCGGGGGGGGGGTATCTGTACTCCAGGGGAGGTGCACCTGTAGTCTGGGGAGAGGGTACATCAAGCTAGGTGCGCTCGCGTCATATCTGACGTCCTACCCCTCCCTCCCATCCCTTACCATGGCGCTGATTTTCTCTATCCGCGGACGCGTGTCGTAGCGGACCTGTGGCTCCGCGCGCGCGTGCGTAGTGGGTGGTGGTGCACGTGCGTGCGTGCGTGCGTGCGTGTGTGCGTGGTGGTGGTGGTGTGGTGGTGGTGTGGTGCTGGTGTGGTGCTGGTGCTGGTGCTGGTGCTGGTGCTGGTGCTCGTGCTGGTGGTGGTGCTGGTGCTGGTGGTGGTTGTGTGGTGGTGGTGGTGGTGGTGGTGGTGGTGGTGGTGGTGGTGGTGGTGCGGCGCGGTGGTGGCGGGCGGATGGGCGCGCGAGAAAGAGGCCCGCGCTGGGGCGAGAACGCCATCCTGAACGACGGAGGCCAAACACCGATCCGAAAATGAGGCCCACGCTGCAGCGGGAGCACGATTCGGAACGATTCGGGAGCAGAAATGAGGCCGGCGCCTCAGTGAGAGCATCATTTTGCCCGAAAATGACGCCGGCGCCTCAGCGAGAGTCGTTTCCCGGGATTTCCCGGGAATCTTGTGTGTAAAAAAACAGTACGCGGAGGGTGCGCGGCCATCAATCACCCGGACGCCATCAGGGGAAGAGGGAGAGTATTTTCATATTGAGTAATTGTGTAGTCTGGGGGGTACTTGTAGCCTGGGGACTCAGAACCATTGAGGAACACAGAGTAATGGTGTAAAACCTGCACCATCCCCCAAAACAGGGGTAATGGTGTAATGGTGTACAACCCAGGCCATTCCACAAACCTGTGTAATCGTTTAATGGTGTAAAGCCTACGCCATTCCACGCAATTGTGTAATGGTGTAATGGTGTAACGCGTACACAGTTCGAATACTGGTGCAACGGTGTAATGGTGTACAGCTTGCATCATTCAACAAAGTGGTGTAATGGGGTGGTGGTGTAACGCATACACCATTAAGGTGTACTGGTGTAACGCTTAGACTATTTACCAAACTTGCATCATGTTGCAATGGTGCAGGTTTGTGCTTTCATATCCAGAGCGCACGCATGCTGGGAATAACGAAGGAGGAGATGAGAGCGAGGGCGGAGTGAAGAGAAAGGAGGGACGGAGGACGGATGAAGGAGGGAAGATGAGGAGGGAGGATGGAGGATGCCTGAGTGAGGAGGCGGATGATTAGGAGGAGGAGGAGGAGGAAGAGGAGGAGGAGGAGGAGAGGGATGACGAAGAGGTGGGCAGGAGAGGAAGGAAGGATGGACGGATGAGGACGCAGGAGGATGAGGGGGGGATGAGGGAAGGAGGAAGCGAATGAGGATGAGGTGGTGGAGGAGCGGGGAGCAAAGAGAAGGGGAAGGAGGATCGAGGAGGAAAAAGGATGGGGAGTGGCGTGGAGCGAGGAGGGAGGGAGAATGTTGCGAGAAGCGAGGAGCAGTTGGAGGAGGAGGAGGAGGAGGAGGCGTGACTGACCGGTGCTCACCAACTGGCCGAATGGCACGTGGAAGTGCCAATTCCGTGCCTACGATGCACGCGCCCTTGTCCCATGCCCTGCTGGAGCTTGCTGCCAAGATTTGCCCCGTGGCTCCTCTTCCAGACGACGTCGACTACATCGTCCATCACGTGCATCGAGGGCTGAATAGGACGATCAATTTTTAAGCAGGTCGTCATTCGTGCAGGCACGATGCGAGACGTGTTAGTTCGCAGCGCCGCTGCTGCACACCGTTTTTCGACGGGGGGATGTTTCTGGTGGTACTTCCCGAGGCGGGTGGGTGCAGCGGTTAACAGGAAGCGTGATGGTGTGGATGAGGAGAAGGAGGAGGAGGAGGAGGAGGAGGAGGAGGAGGAGGAGGAGGAGGAGGAGGAGGAGGAGGAGGAGGAGGCGGAGCAGCGAAGAGCGAGGAGTGATGAAAGGTCAACGAGGAAGACGAGCAGTAGGTTTTGCTGCCGCCCCAGATCCTGATCTTGGAGATCCCGTTGCTCGGATCCTCCCTTGAGCCCTTTCCCGTCCACTTCCCTCTCTATCGCATGCTCTCCCTGCATCCGTGCATCTAAGTCATTCAATTTGTTGCGTGGCCAGCATCAGCACTCACTACGCGGCAACCTCATGCTCTACACTAGCACTGTCCGCACTGCACATCATGGTTAGTGGTTAGCCTTCTACCAACCTTTGCAGACATTGTAAGTCATAGCGGTCCACACGCGCCGTGGCAGGATAAGAAGGCAAAAGAGGACAAGGAGGAGAAGGGGACGAACGACAAGAGTGACGAAGGTAAAAAAGACAAGGACGACACAAAAGAGGACAAGAAGCACAAGAAGGAGCGCAAGGAGAAGAAGGACAAGTGAGTCCGATGTGTCCAGGCGCTTGCGGCACATCCGCCACCGTGCCAGCGATGCAGCTCAGTGTGGCGACCTTTTCGAGCGCCGCGCCGAGAAGACCGTCACGCGCAACACCTCCCGTGTGCACTTCTTGGGGAGCTCCCACGGGTCCCGGGGACTATTTCGCGCCGTCTCGGGCCGTCTTGGGCTCGCGTGGGGACTATTTGGGCCGTCCAGGGCTGTCTCGGGCTCCTGCGAGGCAGTCTTGGGGGGGGTTCCTCCGCGCCTTCCTTGGGCCTGCCTGGGGCAACCTGGCCGGGCGTGGTGGGGTCGGGGTGTTGGGGTTTGCAAAACTTGCAGAGACCCTTCCAGGCAGTACTCGGCATTCTGCCACGCCTCAGCTTGCTAGGAGGCACGGTGGCGGAGACTGCGGCTGGTGCTGAACATGTTGGAGGTGCTCTCGAAGGGGTAGTCGACAAGACCACGGCACCTTCATCGGAAGGCATGCGGCGGGCAAGGATCAGCGTCCTCGTTTGCCGCTCCACCCGGCAAGCTTACCCATGCGGCGCATGAGAGCAAGGGAGCCTGAGGCGGGGCGCGCGGTCCGCGGCGCCCCCCGCCGACCCAGGCATCCTGCGCTCCGATCTTTCCCACGCGTTGGCCCACAGAACTCTCGACCCCTTCCCCGGGGGGGCCCGTGCTCACGAGAGGCGAGCGCACCCGTGTCCATGTCCTCGCGATCTGGATTCGGGGGCGCGGTCCCGTCGATGCGCGGTCGCGCGAGCCCCTTTCGCGCGGGGCGTCCGCGGAAAAGCGCCCCGTGTCCACAGGGTCGGGGCCCAAGGGCCCGGCCCGTGAGGCCGTGGATACGGATGTGTGTGTGTGTGTGTGTGTGTTTGTGTGTGTGTGTGTGCGTGTGCGTGTGCGCGTGCGCGTGTGTGCGTGTGTGCGTGTGTGCGTGTGTGCGTGTGTGCGTGTGTGCGTGTGTGCGTGTGTGCGTGTGTGCGTGTGCGTGTGCGTGTGTGTGTGTGTGTGTGTGTGTGTGTGTGTGTGTGTGTGTGTGCGTGCGTGCGTGTGCGTGCGTGCGTGCGTGTGTGTGTGTGTGTGTGTGTGTGTGTGTTCCGCCCACGAGGTGCTTCACCCCGAGTCCTTCTGTTGGCAGCCCGCAGGCCCTGAGATCTGACTCACAATCACAACCCCATCTTCCTGCGCGACTCTTCGAGCCGGATCGGTCCGTGAGGGCCCCCAGGGCTCGAAACCGGGCGAAAACCCCAAGCCTGTAAAGGTCGAGACGCCAGGAGCCAGGATCTCCTCAGGGGATGGCCGAAGCTCGGCCTCCCCTGGGCGAAGTCGAGCAGGCTCAGGACCAGGATAAGTCCCTCCAGAGCGCTCCAGAACGCCCGAGCATTCTGGAACGCTCTGAGAGCCGCGGCGCCCGGTAGGTCCTCCAGGACCGCGGAATCTCAGAGATCCCGGACCTATCCCGATCCGATGTTGTCCCTGTCTTGGCCCCGTCTTGCGGAGGAATCTGGCAATTTCGCCGAGGCGCTGGATGTCTGCCGACCCAGACATGCGATTTCCTGATTTGTCCAGTACGTGCACCCGAAGGTCCCGACCCTCTCCCAGGAGCTGGCTTTTCATGCGGTTGTACTTTTGACAGCCCCGTGGCCCTTTGAGCCTTTGAGGGCCCCCGGAGGCCCCAAATGGCCGAAAACCTTCCGGCCCCGTTTTTCAGGAGCATGTCTGCCAGAAAGACCACCATCGGGTTGGGAGGATGACCGCATCACCCGTGCTTACCGCGTATGTCGAGCGTGCTCAATGCACAGCCGTGCCCCGCGTCTCCCCAGCCCCCGCCCTCCCAACCCGACGACCGTCCTTCAGGGTCTGGGGAGGGAGGGCCCGCTCGCGCCGGGGCCGCCCGCCGTCGGCCCGGCAGTGGCCCGCCCCGCGCGCGCGGCCAGTGGTGGAGCGCCTCGCGGGCTCGCGGGGTGGCGGCTGGCGCCCCGCATCGACGACGGGCGAGGGACGACGGCGACGAGGGACGGCGAGGGTCGGCGACGAGGCAACCACGGCGACGAGGGACGAGGACGAGGACGACGACGGACGGACGGACGACGACGAGGTATACGACGCACGGCGGCGACGAGGTGAACGACGCACGGCCACGCCGAGGGACGACGTCGACGACGACGTCGACGTTTTGGAGGTTTTCGGACGTTTCTGGACACAGTCATTGCCACGGCTGGACGCAGCGCGCAGAACTGGCCAGGACGGACCCCTGGAGCGGTGCAGGCGGCAGGTGGCAGGTCCTGAACGGATCCTGGAGGATCGCCAAGATGAAAACGAGTCCGGGCGACCATGGAGGTCCTTCGAAGGTTGACAGACCTCCTACCCTGACACGTCGATAAGTGAATTGGCCATTTTCGGATCGCGAGAGGGCGTCGCTGCCGTCATTTTTGCGGGTCCAGGTCCGTCGGTTTCGGTCCTAGGCCGTTTTCACTAAATGGAGGTTTACTAAAAGGAGGTTTGTCCACCGCTGAGTCCTGAATTTGTTTCCTTCGTTTTTGCCCCTTCCGGGGCCCTGGGTCGTCCCGGGTCCGTCCAGAAACGGCTCGCGATGAAGGGCTGGTCTTGGGGAAGCCCCTGGCGGTCCGGACCCGTGTCCACCAAGACGCCGCTGCTTCGTGCCATGACGTCTTTCGCCACAAGCGGCACAGCCCAAGCATGCTGGTGCTGCATGTGCGCGGGCACCCACCGGCGATGCGCGCGCTCAGAAGCCTCACAGTACACAGCAAGCGCGTGTACGCGCCACAAGCAGCAAATCTCGTACCCCCCCCCGGAAAGGGGGGGGTACGAAATTTGCTGCATGCAGCTGGTTTCGGCCTCGCCGAGGGGCCCATTCCTCGATATACACAGCCGCCTCCGGCGCCGGGAGGCGCCGGGAAAATCAGCCACGTGAGCTGATTCTCAAACCCCCCCTTTGCTATCCCCCCCTTTCGCCCGACCCGAGTGGCGGGCGCTTGCTGACCACAGCTCATGGCTGACGGCATACGCTCAGGACGTCCGCGTGAGGACCGCTTGGGGCTCGGGAGGGGCCCCGGTTCTCGGGCCGCTCCCGCGGCCCGGGTCGGGGCCTCCGCTCGCTGCCGGGGCTCGCCGCGGTCGGACAGAGCCCGTGCGTTCCTCCTTCAGCGTTCCCACAGACCGCCATGGCGAGGAGGAGGAGGAGGAGGAGGAGGAGGAGGAGGAGGAGGAGGAGGAGGAGGAGGAGGAGGAGGGAGAGGAGGAGAGGGAGGAGAGGGAGGAGGAGGAGGAGGAGGAGGAGGGAGAGGAGGAGAGGGAGGAGGAGGAGGAGGAGGAGGGACGCGCCCGACCCAGATCTGGGAGGCCTCTATAGCGACAAGCTGGGGGCACGAGCCAGGGCGTGTTCCCACAGGCCGGGCGTTGGGAAAGGGGCGGCGTCGCGAACAGGCACGACGGGAGCCCCGGGCCCGATCTTCCTGCGGTGTGCGTCGAGCCGGACCGATCTGCCCAGGCCCTCCGACCCCCATACGAAGTAGAGGATCCTTGGAACATCCTGGGGATCGCTGCGCAGACGCAGGATCCCCCAAACAATAATTCGGAATCCGCCGCCCATGTAATCTCCCCTTTGCATGGAGGAAGATCCCACTTAGGCAGCGCAGGTATAGTCAGCGAGGAGGGGCGAACGGGCTTGCGCTGCACATCAAAGCGAGGGGGCCCAACGGTATCACAGAGTCCCTTGTATCACCCCGTGCGTCACATCGCAGGCGTTTTGATGAGAAAGGTCCATACCCCAACTGGACGTTTCAGATCCCAGCTAGACGGTCCAGATCCCAACCGGTAATAGAAAAGAATGGGTCAATATCCCAACTCTTCTGATTCGAACTTCCGAGCGCTTGCAGCGCTTGACAGGCGCTACAGAGGCGCTTGATCGGCGCCTGATAGGCGCTTCCCTGAAAACGCCTCCTCGGCTTCGCGAAGGATTCCCATGGGTTCCTCTCTAAGGCTTCCTGAAGGATTCCTGAGGATTCTGGAGGAGTCCTTCCGATTCCTGAGGGATCCCTGAGGGATCCCTGAGGGATCCCTGGGGATTCCGGCTTCGTGAAGGATTCCCATGGGTTCCTCTGAGGCTTTGTGAAGGATTCCTGAGGATTCCTCCCGATTCCAGAGGGATATCCTGAGGAATCGTTGAACATTCCGGAAGGATTCCTGAGACCCCGTGTGGGAACAAATCCAGACATCGGATGTTTTGGGACGCGAGGCCTCGCCGATGCGGACGCCGCGCAGACCGTCCGGGCAGGCCGCTTGGCCACAGCCAGCAGGCGACCTGGTCCCTGCGGGTCTGGAACGCAGACCGCATTAGAGGATGTACGTCTTGACCGGCAAGTGGGGTAGCCAGTGGCCCGCGGGCGCAAGCAGTGCCCGTCGCAGCAGCGGTCGGGCGCGGCCATAAGAGCACGGCAGGGTGGGTGACCTGTGGGGGTCTGGGCCACACGCTGTCCCCTCTCCCTGGATCGCTGCGCAGCCACTTGGAGTGCCCACGCACCAACACATGGGGAGGGCCACTCTTCCTTTTCGTTCTCGTCCGCCACTCCCCACGGAAGGCGGGCTCGCCGCGCGGACGCGGCGACGCTCCCGGCGCAGACGCTCAAGGTAGAACGCCGCCGATGGCCGCGGACCCCAGACCGGCCGATCCGTTTGCAGCGGCCTGTTTCATGGCCCAGAGCTCGTGGGCACAGTCTCGTGACCCCTAGGCCTCCCAGATGGGGTCCGAGTAGATAGGGTCGAAGGATCTCGCCGCATCGTCGATGCATCGACAATGTGGCTCGATGCGGAGTCAGAATTCCTCCACGCCGATAGCGCCCATGCATCGGCGACGTCGCCAGTGCATCGCCGATGCATTCTCGATGTATCGGCGATGCATCGGTGATGCGGCGCGATCCTCCGACCCCATCTACTCGGACCCTGCCTAGAGGGCTTCTCGTGGTGCCCAGTCTCAAGGGCATCGCGCGTGGGCTCTGTGGGCCTGCAGCCTCCTTTACGCAGCGCATCGTGAGGATCACTCTGGTGCGGGAGCTTCTCGGCTCAGTCTGTGGGCTCCACTTGCCGGGCCGAATCAGATCGTGTGCAAGGACTGGTCTCCAGTCCCCGTGCTCATGGGTAGGACCTTGCCTCGTGCGCCTCTTATTTTTGGGGCCCTGAATGTGCGTCTCCTGGCTTTGAGCTAGCTCGAAGGCTCGGCGGCTCCATCTCATGGGCCCGATCTCTTCGGCCGCTGCCCTTGCTTCCTGATCGGTACGGCCCGGACCACCTCCACACCCTCCATTGGGGATCCGTAGGCAGTTCGACTCAGGCAATCAAGCGGGCACGCTTATCGGTCCTTGCATTGCAAGATGCTTTGGAGGCTCTCTGCACGGATGCTGAGCATAGGTTCCTTCACATTATCTGCTCTCACTGTCGCTTCCAGCAACACTTCTCCTGTGGTCCCTCTCCACATGCATCAGGAACATCTGCCGCCTTCATCGCCGATATTACGAAGCCGTGGTCATGATTTGCCAGTGGACGGTGCCGTCTTCCCAACCGCTATGTACTACGCTATGGTGCAGGTCGGAACTCCGCCGCGAGACTACGCTGTTGGCCTGGATTCAGGGAGCGGGGATCTGTTCGTAGAGGGCAAGGGCTGCAAGGGCTGCACTTTAGGGCCGCCCAACAGTCAGTATGACCCCTCTGCTTCAGCTTCGTCAAAATCAGCTGGTGGTAGCTTTCACCACTCCTACCAGACTTGTAGCATGGTCAACCCATCTGCGACTTGCACCATCTATGGGAACATGTACACAGATGAGGTGAGCCTCGGTGGCTTGGGTCCCGTGGTAGTCAAGGTCGGTGCCATTCAAAGTCAAACCTCGAATTTCGACACAAAGAAAGTTGTCGGTGGTTTGATGGGCTTGGGAGGCTTTGACGGTGAGGATGTTCTGGCCACTCTTGCCAATGCTGGCAAGTGCGATCGGATCTGGGGCGTGTGCATGTATGAAGGTCGGGAGAGCAATGGAACCATGACAGTTGGAGGCGTCGATGAGAGCTTGTCGGACGGCCCTATCCAGTACGTGCCAGACCAAGGCTTCGTTTACAATACAGTAGAAGTGAAGTCACTGACATTGGGTAACCACGAGGTGCACGTGGGAGACGGCGCAGTCCTCGACAGCGGTACGAACATTCTTTTGCTCGGATCGTCGGTGTACAGTCAGTTGCAGCAGGCAATGTGCTCCAATTCTTCACTGGCACACTGTGCAGGTTTGTGGTCCAACGACTGTTTTGAGATGTCCAATTCGGAGGTGGAGCAGTTTCCGCCGCTACGTCTCCAATTGGACGGAGTCGAGCTGGAGATGAGCAGCCGTGAATATTTGCTGCAGGGCTCTCCGCTTGCTGCCTCGGCGGGACAGTATTGCCTCGGTATCCGTAACGGTGGTCGGGCGGGCTTCATCATCGGTGCCACAACCATGAAAAACTATTATGTCGTATTCGACAAGAAGCAGCAGCGGATAGGATGGGGTAAAGTCAACAAGGGCACATGTGGTTCCATGAAGTCCCGTGGGTCGGCCACATCTGTTGTCATATGAGTGCGGCCAATGGTGCACCTGGTTATTGTTGCGTCGCTGGGGTCGGCCTGCATGGGTGCAGCCTACGCAGCCACATTTCGCCAGGAAGACTTGCAGCGGCATTCGTCGTTTGAAGCATGTTTTTTTCTGCTGTTTAGCGTTCAACAGATCGTGCGCAGCAGTCCCTTTCAAGCGCGTGCCGTCGCACGTCGACTCAGCTGTAGTTGTGACCCTCTGTTCAGAGCGCCTTGCCTACGACGACAGGGGGAGCACCTCGTTCCTGCAAGCCAAGCAGCAGCGCAGTTTTGGGGGAGGCCCGAGAACGAAAGGAGGAGGTGCGGCAAAACGTGCCTGCACCACGCACTGCGCTGGAGAGACGGGCGCAGGCGAAAGGGATGGATATAGCCCAGGGGCGGGCACGACACGTATTTGCCCGGGAGGCTTGTCGAAGACATGGGCGATCGGAGCCCGTGGATACACGCAAGGCCCCCCTCCCCCTGGGCCATATTCGCCTCGACTGCAGCCGCCGGGGGGTCCCCGCATGGGCGCGATGTCGATCGCGCCTCGCGCTCCGCGTCTTGGGCCCCCCTCTCCCTGGGCCATATTCGCCTCGACTGCAGCCGCCGGGGGGTCCCCGCATGGGCGCGATGTCGATCGCGCCTCGCGCTCCGCGTCTTGGGCCCGGGAGACAGTCTGAGGCAGTGAATCGCCGACGCGTCCGCTGGTCTTGGATGGAACGCATGCCAGGGAGCAGCGCCCAGTAGCGCCAAAGAGTGCCCATGCAGCACCCAGTAGCGCCGACTAGCTCTCAAGAAGCGACCAGTAGCGACCAGCAGCGACCACCAGCGCCACGTGAGGGAGAGGCACCGTGTCCGCTCTCCCCGCGACCGGGCACGCTGTTGGGCGCCGTGGGGGCGACCAGACGCTTCCGGGACCTCCCCCCGGGGGAGCGGCGCGCGAGAGGGCGGAGGAGCAGCCGCGCTCCGCGCTCAACGCGGGAGCGGCGAGGTCGGGGAGAAATCTGCAGGTCCGAGCGCCCCCGCGGTCAGCTCCCGAGGCGCGCCGGGCGCCGCCGCCCCTCGAGGGGCCCCAAGCCGTGTGGTGACCTCGAGATCCCAAGAGACCTCACCGCGCAGTGACCACCCGAAGCCCCGCTGGCTCAGCGCACGGTGTGGTCACCACACCGTGTGGCGGCCCCCCGAGCCACGCTCGTGCCCAGGGCGCCAGGTGCGCGGGCGCGCCTGGCGCGCGGGCGCGCCTGGCTCGCCTTGACGAGCGGGGGCTCCTGAGGGAGCGAGGTCCTGAGCTTAGTTTCGCTGCATTCGGCATCCCAGAGAGAGCATCCTGAGACCCAGGCAAACTGCAGCAGCATTCCATCATTTTGTGGTGCTTCGGCAGCTAGGAGCCTCAAGCGAGCAGGCAAGTCTAGATAACGCCGAGACGTGTAGTTCTGTTTTCAAAACGTCTTGGGCCCCAGGGCTTCCAACAAAAGCGGACCGGAATGAACAGCCAGTCTCGTGGAGATCTTTGGGTGCTCAAGGCCTGTTTTGTTCTGTTTGGCTCGGCGCAAGCAGCCACAATTGCAGTCGTTGGTGCTCTAGGGCTCGGTGATGAGGAAATCTGGCCACTTACCTCGGAGCTTCTTCGAGGGTGATGACAGCGGCCCTGAAAAAACAGCAGGGTGAGTCAAGAGGCGTGCGCACCTTGGACCATTTGACGCTCGACGCTCAACGCTCTACTGCCATCGCCCCAGATGGCGGCGCCGCCAGGGAGGGCTGGCGCACGAGGCGCGCTGGCCCTCGACCGAGGGCCCCGTCGTACATGGCAGCCCCAGGCCTCGCTTCCCACCGCGGACCGGCCTCCTCGGAAGGCTCGGGAGTTCCCTGGCCTTCTGGGAAGTTTTCTAAGCCTTCCCCGAGGATGTAGATAACTTCTCAGAAGGCGCGAGGTTTTCTGAGAAGCCCCCGCCGCCTCTGAGTCTGCTCCCCCGCGGCCTCCTGGCGCGACCTCCGCTCCGTCCTGGAGAGCAGCGTGGCGCCGCGGCCTGCCCGCGGGCGAGCGGCCGGCGGCTGGGCGCGCGGGCGTGTGGTGGGCAGCGCGCCGCTGTGCGGCAGGGCTCTCCTGGGCAGCGGGAGTGGCTGCCAGCGAGGGACAGCGCAGCTTCCAGGCCGCTCGCCGATGGCGACGGCGACGACGACGACGACGGCGGCGGCGGTGGCGGCGGCGACGACCACGGCGGCGGCGGGCGGAGCGGACTCAATAGCTCCAACTTGCGCCCAATAGCGACCAGTATCGCCGAGTAGCGCTCAGCTAGCGACTTATAGCGATCAGTAGAGCCCGACAGCGCCCTGTGAGGGAGATGCATTGTGGCACCTTTACACGCGATGAGGAGCGCGTGTTGGCGCCACGGGGACGACCAGAAGATTCCGTGAGCTGTTTTCGAACGAAGCTCAGAGGAGGGCGAGTTGAGGTAACGGCAGTTTGCCTTCCGAGGGCCCCCTCGTCGCCACGGCTGGACGCAGCTCGGAAAGCTGGGGCGTTTGGGCCCCCGGAGGGGTCCAGGGGCCGATTCCGAGCTGCCGTTGTCTCAGCTCGCCCGGCGTGGGTTCTGGTGGTGGCCCCTTCAGTGCCTTTGCGTCTGGCCGAGCCCAGTGGTTGTTGAGAGATTCGCGCTGCCCCCAGCATCGCGTTATCTTTACATTCGTCCACTGTGACTTTCTCTCGACGTCTCTGGGACCGAACTCTTGCCAAGGTCTGAATTACGTCTTCGACGCTGCTTTCCTTTGTGTCGCTTCGCCTGTCCTCCTTCTCCTCCTCTACGGGCTTCAGGCAAACATGAAGACATTGTAGATCATATCAGCATGGGGCCTGCACGGTTATGGCACCCTCAGCATGAGAAGCGCATGCAGTTTGGTAAACGCGGTGTATTTTCTTATTATAGTATGTTCATTATGTGATCTTCCTCCTCTCAGAAGGCAGAGTTCTTCCGAGCCTCTCAGAAGGCAGAGTTCTTCCGAGTCATACGTCCACACCTCTTCCTCTCCCAATGTGCCACTCCTCGTTCCCAAACAACCATCCTCTGGACCTGCCGTTGGATGCTTCTCGTCCAGAATTTCGAGGAAATCCAGCCGTGGCGACGAGATCTCTCCCAGGAGGTCTAACATGGCCAGAAGACATGCAGCAACCTTGATCCTCGATGCTCCTCCCTCAGCTTCTCCTTCTCGGCTCAAGCCGTCAGCCTTGCTATAATGCCCTCCATCCAGGATGCCTTGCGGCAGGCCGTGACGCATTTGCAGAAACCTGCGCGCGCGTCCCTGCGCGGTCCTTCACAGCCAAATGGATGGGCGGAGGACCCAGCCATGCGGCGATCGGGAAAACATTGCAGCTTGAGGGTTTTCGGGAGTTTCGGCTTCTGCGGGTCGTTTCCGAACCCCAAGTCTGCAACCAATTGCGAATCCTACCCTTACGGGGCCAATCGACGCTTGGGTACCTGATAGCCCCGCTCACTTGGCTGCAGACCTCCTTCTAATTCTCAACCCCAACCAGTTGTTCATACGTCTGATGTGCATGCACGTATAACACCAGCAATCTGTTTTGAACCTTGGAGCGTGATATGCCCATATCGTTGCGCATAAGTGCTTCTGACGTGCAAGGGTAGGGCTCACATGTGGTTGCCTACCAGGACCGTGAGAAAGGGTCCAGAATGAAAAGGGGCCCGGGGTCAGAAGGTCCAGCGGCGGGCGACCTGAAAAAGTCGAGTTGTCGGAGGTCTGGGGAGGGAGGTGGCGGGAGGGCGAGATGATCCCGCGGGTCAGCGACCTCATCTTCTTCTCTGTCACCATCTCTTCCTCCTTGTCACCATCTCCTCCTGAGCGACCTCTGCCTTGTCACCATCTCTTCCTCCTCCCTGCTCCTCCTCCTCCTCCTGCGCTCCCCCTTCACCCTTCGCCCTGCGGCCTTGTTCTCTCCCCCCTCCTGTTCCTCCTCCTGCTTCCTGCTTGTTCGTGGGCTGTGCATAGGGATCGTCTCTTGGTGCTGCTGCGGAGGGGCGGGCGGGCGCAATGGAGGTGAGAGGGAAGGTCAGGAGAGCATACATGTATGTATACAGTACATCTAGAGAGAGATGGAGAGAGGGAGAAATAGAGAGATAGATAGAGATAGAGATAGAGGTAGAGATAGAAGGAGAGAGAGGGAGAGAGGGAAAGGGAGAGATGGACAGAGGAAGCGAGAGGCAAATAGGGAGAAATCCAGAGAAAGCGAGAGAGGAAGAGAGAGAGAGAGAGAGAGAGAAACCGATGCGGACGGCGTCCTGGCCACGGTGCAGCGCACAGGACTGGGGGCCGCGGTGGAGGGAGGGTGGCTTGAGCCTAATGCTGCATACGTATATTTATAGAGAGAGGAGGGTAGTCATAGGTGCCTATTTTGCCAACGGGCCAAGACTTAAGAATCGCCGGCCGTGCCATGGGCATTTCAAGGATGTGGGTCCTTGTGGCGAGCGACGCCCAGGAATCAGGAATCAGGGAGGAGCCAAAGGTCGCCATCTCCGCGCTGGGGCCACGGGGAGGGTGGGTCCCCGTGGCGAGCGGCACCCAGGAATCAAAGGTCGCCATCTCCGCGCTGGGGCCACGGGGGAGGGCCGCGGCCCACAAGCGACCCACCCGCGACCCACCCACGACCCACCCGCGACCCACCCGCGACCCACCTGCGACCCACCCCGCGACCCCCCGGCGACCCACCCCGCGACACGTCCGCGACCCACCCGCGACCCACCCGCGACCTGGCCCGCGACCCACCCCGACCCGGCCCGCGACCCACCCGTCACCCGCGACCCACCCGCGACCCGGCCCGCGACCCACCCTCATTGCTTTAGCGGAAAAATCGGCGCCTGCGGCGGGCTTGTTATATAGTTTGTTAAAAGTAAGCGATTGCGGCGGGCTTCTGCAAAGCCTCGCAGACTGCCCACGTTCCCGCCACCCCATCACTCTTATCCACAACTGCGGGTACTTGCCCTGGGGTCCTCATTGGCGCAAGTGTCATCCCATTGTTGCCTTGCAGATCAGCTTGTAGGTGCTGTTGAGATTTCGGATAGGGGTGGGATGTGCATAAGTGAGAGAGCGTGATCCACCGCCGCTTTACTGTGGAAAATTGCCAACCTTTCCCTCCGGAACCCGGGGGTCGCCCCCCACCCCCCCTCCGAAAATCCCCCCCCCCCCCCCCTGCTGGAACCCCTCCCTCCCCCCCCCCCCCCCCCCCCCCCCGCAAAACCCCCCCCCTCCCCCAACCCCTCCCCCCCCCCTCCCCCCTCCCCCTCGAAAACCGGGGGGGGTTACTACCGGTTCGAACCCCTTCCCCCCCCCCCCCCGGATCCGGAAAACCGGGGGGGGGTCACTACCGGTTCGAACCCCCCCCCCCCCTCGAAAACCGGAGGGGGATCACTACCGGTTCGAACCCCTCCCCACCCCCCCACTCACCGCCAGCAAACGACTCCCGGTCCCTACCACCGTCCGCATCACATCCTCCACTGTTGTTCCCAGCACCACTGTCCTCACCACCACTGTCCCCACTGTGTCCCCACCAGTGCCCCCACCACTGTCGCACTGTCCCCACTGTCCCCACCACTGTTCCCACCACGGTTCCACTCTCCCCACTGTCTCCACGGCCCCAACCACTGCCCGACTATCCCCACTGTCCCCACTGTCCCACTGACTCCGCCGCTGTCCCACTGAGCTGTCCCACTGTTCCCACCACTGTCCCCACTGTCCCCACCACTGACCACTGTACCTCTGTCCCATTGTCCCACCGCCGTCCTCGCCACCGCCTTCACCACTGTCCCCACCACCATTGTACCCTCCACTGTCCCACTGTTTGCACCTCATTCCCACTGTGCCCACACCACTGTCCCCACCACCACCGTCCCCACCACTGTCCACTGTCCCCCCTGTCCCCACCATTGTCCCCACCACTGTCCCCACCACTACCGGCCCTCTACTGTCCCACTGTCCCACTGTCCCCACCACTGTCCCGCTGTCCCCCTCACCACTGTCCCACCAACACCGTCCCCACCTCTGTCCGCACCCCCACTCGGTTTTTCGAGGGAGGGCGGGGGGGGGGTTCGAACCGGTAGTGACCCCCCCCCCTTTTCATGATGAGCTGGGGGGGGGGGGAGGGGTTCGAACCGGTAGTGACCCCCGCCCCCGTTTTCCGGAGGGGGGGGGGGGGAGGGGTTCGAACTGGTAGTGACCCCCCCCGGTTTTCCGCCAGCAGCGGTAGAACACGCTCTTTCGCATAAGTTGCACATGCTTCCAGATAAACCCGTCTTGCCCATACTAGTATTACGAGTATTGTTGCTGCTTGTTCGGTCTTCTTGATTGCCAGCATTACTCGTGCGTTTGATGCTAACAGTGCCCTGCTTATATTTACGTTGCCAGTGTTGCGTGGTATGCAAGGTGCAGCGCCCCGTTGCGTGCTGTTGCAGCTGTCCTGGGACGGCAGGGGGAACAACTGTCCTGGGAAGGCAATGCGTAGCTAAGGACACCATGCTACGTATCGCAGGAAGGAGTATCGTTCATGTGTTCGCCACTTCTACGCAGCACCATCGTCATCACGATTGTTGGTATTTCATCTTGAGCCATTGGCTCAAGAATCTAGACTTGGACGTTAGTGGCTCGAGCGGGCAGGATATGAGTGACGGCGACAACTGTGCCTCCCTGGCTGCATACTTTTTGTTTGACTCTCCACCCCGTTGGCTCGTGGTCGTGTGGGGTGGCGGTGCCATTCTGACGGCGATCACTGTGTGTCTGACATGGAAGCTTGTGTCTGAGCACATTTTGGCGGCGAAAGCAAGCGGCTTTGGAGGCAACACGTTTGTGCGGGCTTCGTACGGTCCACGAGCGGACAGGCTTCTGCACCTCCTTGTCATGCCCGGGCTTTTTTCTGCCACGGCCTTAGTTCAGCTGTTCCTCCCGAGGGCGGAACCATTGTGCACCCTGTGGCGCAGCATCGAGGCTTCCTTCGCCATGGTGCGCCTCATCGAGCTCCTCTACATCTTGTCCGGTGGCTGGAACCGCGTGAAGCTACGACTTCCACGAGATCCAATCAAGCCCTATGCTGGAGTTCCCCTATGCTGTTGTTTCATGTGGAAGCCTTGCACCCGTGTGGTGACCGACCAAGACATCGGTATCATGGTCATGGGCGTCAGGCAATTCAGTTTCGTCACGCCCATTCTCGGCACCATTGATGCCTATTCCGGGTATGCGTCTGTGGACGGAGTAACGTCGGTTGTTACCGCCGCAAATGTTCTGTACGTGACTTCTACCATTGTGGGCGTGTGGTCGTTCAACAACCTATTCGCGTTGCTCAGTCACGGTGTTCCCCGTGAGCACCGCAAGTGGGCAAAGTTAAGGCTACTCTGCGTTTCCGGACAAATGCTTTCTGTCAAACTCGTGAGCGTGATAATCGAGAGCAGTCTTCGTGGCAGCAGCTACGATAACGGGAACTGGGTTCTGGATGATCGCCTTTTGGCTGTGCTGGTAACTGGATGCTACCTCTGCGTCGTGGAGCTGCTGCTAGTGTTCGTTAGTCGTAAAGCGTTTCCTGTGGGGAAGGCCCTCTATCCAGCCCCTGTTTTCGCCAATGGCTTCCCCCTGGACATGCTCGCATCTGTAGAGTTGTGTGGGGTGCCCCAGGGGGTATACGAAGGTCTCCGGCAGTTCGAAACGGAAGCGGCAGAGGACGATGATGAGAATGCTGAGTCTTCGTCTGACGAACAGAGCGAGTCTTCATAGATGCACGCACGCACGCTGAGGCATTGACAATAGTTTCCCACCCGGTTTGCTGATTCATTTCTGTATATTAATCGCTTCGCTCATTCCGCCGGCCCGTATTGTGCCATCGCAGGCGTTTGCTTGCGCGTTCGTGGCCTCTTGGAGCCTCGGTGGGGCCGTCTGGGGCCTCTTGGCGCCTCTTTTTAGGCCTCTTGGAGAACTCGGGAGGCCTCCAGGGGGCCTCCTGAGCTCTCGTGACGGTCTCTTGGGGGGCTTTCGGCGGGCTCTTGGCGGTATTTGTTGGTCCTCTTGGGGCCTGGGGCCTGACGTTGTTGGTCCTCTTGGGGCCTCACGGGAGCTTATTGGGGCGTCTTGGGGGTGTCTTGGAGAGTCTCTTGGGGCCTCTTTCGGGGTCCTGGGCGCCTTCTGGGGCGGAGGGCTCGATTTTTCAGTTCTCGGTTCCCTTCTTGAGCCCCTCTTGGGCCCGTCTTGGGGCCTCTTGGTCCGCCTTGGGCAGCACTTGGGCCGTCTGGGGGGCGCTCTTGGGCCGCTCCGGGGCCGTCTTGGGAGCCTCGTGGGCCGTCTTGGAGCAGTCTTGAAGGCCTCTTGGGCCCTCTTGGAGCGTCCGGAAGCGAAAAGGCCAGAACGCAAAAAAACATCGAACAAACTTATGAAAATCAACGATTTTGGCAACTTGGGGCCCTCTTCGGAGGCCTCTTGGAAGGCCCTTGGAGCGTCTTGGAGGCCTCTTGGGCTGTCTTGGGGCCATCTGGGGCGTCTTCGGGCGATCTTTGGCCGTCTCGGGCCTCTCTTGGACCGTCTAGAAAGCTTCTCGGGGCCCTCTTGGACCGATCTGGAGCCCTCTTGGACTCCGAAACAGAACTCCGGCATCTCTGACCCGACCTTGCCGGGGCCGGGGACTTGCCGGGACCTTGCCGGGGTACTTTTCGTCCGGGGACCCCCAGGGGCCGCCCCGCGCGCGCGAACTAGAAATACTGTTAACCAGGTACCGGAGATCTTAGCACGCCCTGGCCCGTTGGGCCGGCGAATTCTCGGAGCAAGTTCCATCGTTGCTCTCCTAACAGTTTACCTTGGGCGAAGGCGCAAGTCGTCTTACAGATATGATGTTGGTTTCAAAAGCGGTTGCCTCTTTTGGGCCAGATTGGGGCATGTCTGGTACGCAGCCTACTTACTGCCAACCTCGTTCCGCGTCTTTGATATCATAGGCCATATCGGTCTCTGAGAATTTGGCATGCAGCGCGTTCCGCCCCCTCTCAGGCCACGCCTCGCTGCACAAGTTTGCATCTTGCAGATCGGCTTTGTGATGTGCTTTGCCTGGCAACCTTTTGCTCCGCATTGCAGTTGACGCCGAGCATCGTGGAGATCTGCGGTCGCGCTCCCATCCTCCTCCTCCTCCTCCTCCTCCTCCTCCTCCTCCTCCCAAAAGGTGCCACTTGCAATCGCATGTGAGCCAGGTTTCTGCGTGCGCCCTTTCTACAACCGCAAGACGACCGCTGCTTTTCTTCAATCGAAGCTTCCTCGGCGTCTGTGACAGCCCCCTCGCCGTCCGGATGCCATCACACGGTGCACGACCTTGGCGCGTCCAGGCGCGCTGCATCAGCTCATGCATCGCCAGGCCAGCAGCTGACCCCGGTCGCCACGCAAACAGGGCTCGAGCTAAACGGTGTTTTGGCGATTTCGTGGGCCGCTTTCGTTTTGATTTCGTCTCGCAGCAAAAGCACAAAGAAGACAGAAACGAGTGAACACGAAAGCCGCACGTAAATCAGAGCTGCTGCTCAGCTCGAGCCCTGCACGCAGACTTGGCACGGTGCTGCCACGGGCTGCCACACGACAGGGACCCGCGCGTTGGTGACATCGTGCGCGATGGGTCCCACACTCCGGCAACACCCAGAGGCGATCCACCAACATCCATCGGGGCGTCGTGGGGGGATGTTCCGCCCCGCCCGGCCCGCCCGTCGGGACTGGTCCGCCCGCCCGGCCCGCCCGTCAGAGGCCGCCCGCCCGCCCTGCTAGCCCGCTCGGGCCTGCCGGCCCCGCGCGGGTCGCCCGCCCTTCGCGAGAAGGCTTCGCTCGCTGACGTGCCTGCCAAGGTGCGCTACGGCAGGTTCGCGTCGTGTCTACCAGCGGCGACCCCGCCGATGCCGCTGGCGACCCAGGATCGAACGATGCTGAGCGATCGGAGGTTTCGGAAGCGGCCGAAAGTTCACGGTTGGACAATTTCCGCGGTGCCAGAAACCAACGCCAGAGTCGGCATGCCACGAACCTGCCGTAGCAAGTCCCCGATGGTGGCAGGACAGTTACGGGTGCGCGGCGCGGGTTCTGCTGCAGCGAGAGAGTTGGCCAGCCGTATTCATTGATTGCCTTTGCCCTTCACTCCCGACCACTTGATCCCTATTTAATTATGGCTGCGCTTGTGCGTTTCTGACACATAGTTCTAATCTCTTCCCTCAGCTGCCTCCGAAGAGTCCGCAGTGCTTGTCTGTTTTTTTGTTTGTTTGGTCGGTCGGTTGTTTGTTTGTTGGTTTGTTGTGGGTGGTGCTGGTGGGGGTGGCTGTACCTGATGTTATCTGACATTGGGGCTGGGAGACCAATGAACATCACCAGTCAAAGCAACAACAAGCACACCATTGCATTCGAAATCCGTCGCTCGTTCGCTCGAGTGTACATGTGGAAAAAAGGGAGCTTGCTGGTGGGCCGCGAGGCAAGAGGTTATACGTTTGGTTTCTCTTTGGTCTACGCCTTTCTTTTTTCCCAACAATCCTGTGGTGTTGGGTCCTCGTTTTGAAGAGACAGCGCCTCGCGTTCCTTCTTCCTCCTTCCTTCCTCCTCCCCCTCCTCCCTCCTCAAATGTGTCGTAGATTGTCCCAACCATCCTGTGCTGTGGGGTCCTCGTTTTGAAGAGACAGCGCCCCGCGTTCTCTCCTTCCTTCCTACTCCCCCTCGTCCCGCCCACCCAGTACAGCGCTTCGTGACCCCATAGGAAGCTCCACCACAGATCCCAGTGCTACCGCCCGCATGCGTCCCACCCCCACATTGTAAGGCGTTTCGTGGCAACACAGGGAGCTCCACCGACGGTCCATGTGCTACCGCCCGCATGCGTCCCCCCCCCCACCCAGTACAGCGTTACGTGGCACCATAGGGAGCTCCGCTAAAGGTCCATGTGCTACCGCCCGCATGCGTCTCCCCATCCCGGTACAGCGTTTCGTTGCCCCATAGGGAGCTCCACCGAAGGTGTATGTGCTACCGCCCGCATGCGTCTCCCACACAGTAAGGCGTTTCGTGGCCCCACAGAGAGCTTCACCGAAGGTCCCAGCGCTACCGCCCGAATGCGCCCCCCTCACCCAGTACAGCGCTTCGTGGCCCCATAGGGAGCTCCATCGAAGGTCCCAGCGCTACCGCCCGCATGCGTCCCCCCACCGAGTACAGCGTTACGTGGCCCCATAGGAAGCTCCACCAAAGGTCCTAGTGCTACCGCCCGCATGCGTCTCGCCCACCTAGTACAGCGTTTCGTGGCCCCACAGGGAGCTCTACCGACGGCCCCAGTGCTACCGCCCGCATGCGTCTCCCCCACCCAGTACAGCGCTTCGTGGCCCCATAGGGAGCTCCACCGACGGCCCCAGTGCTACCGCCCGCATGCTTCTCCCCACCCAGTACAGCGCTTCGTTGCCCCATACGGATCTTCACTGACGGCCCCAGTGCTACCGCACGCGTGTCTCCCCCCGCTGCCCAGTACTGCGTTTCGTGGCCCAATACGGAGCTCCACCGAACGTCCCAGTGCAACCGCCCGCCCGCGCCCTCCCACCCAGTACGGTGTTTCGTGGCCCCATATGGAGCTCCACCGAAGGTCCATGTGCTACCGCCCGCATGCGCCACCCCCACCCAGTACGGCATTTCGTGGCCCCATAGGGACCTCCCATGTGCTACCGCCCGCATGCGCCACCCCCACCCAGTATAGCGTTTCGTGGCCCCATAGGGGGCTCCACCGAAGGTGCCAGTGGCAAAGTCCACGTGCGTTTCCCCCACCCAGTACAACGTTTAATTGGACCATAGGGAACACCGAAGGCCCCAGTGGCAAAGTTCGCCCCCACCCAGTACAGCGTTTGGTGGCCCATAGGGAGCTCCATCGAAGGCCCCAGTGGCAAGTTCGCCTGCGTCCCCCCCACCCAGTACAGCGTTTCGTGGTCCATAGGAAACTCCACCGAAGACGATACCCACAACTGCGGGACTCACAACTGCATATGGTTGGGTCCTTCGCCAGGCTAATTATCATGTGCTCTGTCTTTAGGTTCTTTTCGCTCTGTTTACTCTTTATCTGCGCTCTCTCTCTCTCTTTTCCCATTTGTTTCCTCTCCCTATCTCTATCTCTCTCTCTCTCTCTCTCTTCCCTCCCGGCCGTTTATGCTCTCGCCACTCCCTCTTTGATCCTCTCTGCTAGCCCTCCCCTTCCTAGTACCGAGTACCTACCCCTCGCCAACTGGCATTCACACTCCAGGGTCTCTGCCTTCGACCCTTCTATAGCGTGTACTTTCGAATCCGCCCTCTCCACACTTCGCTACGCTGCTCAGCACCCAGCAGCCTGGCTCTTCCTCCCGCAGGAGGAGGAGGAGGAGGAGGAGGAGGAGGAGGAGGAGGAGGAGGAGGAGGAGGAGGAGGAGGAGGGCGCGGGCGCGGGCCCGCGGCGCGCGGCCCCGCGGCAATGGCGCTCGCGGGCGCCTGCCCCATCTGCAGGGAGCCCATCGGCGGCGCGGCGCCCCTGGAGGCGCCCTTCTCGGCCCTGGGCGGGGCGGGGGGCCGAGGAAACCCCGGCGGGGGCCTCTCGAGGCCCGGGGGCTCGAGGGTTCCGAGGACGGGGGCCACGCGGGCTCGAGGCTTCGGGCTCGAGGCTCGAGGCTTCGGTCCTTCTTGAGGAGGAGGAGGAGGAGGAGGAGGAGGAGGAGGAGGAGGAGGAGGAGGAGGAGGAGGAGGAGGAGGAGGAGGAGCAGGAGGAGCAGGAGGGAGGGAGGGAAGGAGGGAGGGGGGGCGTCCGCGCGACTTCCCCGCGGCGCTCCGGCGTCGGGGTGCGCTCCGGCAGCTGCGCCTCGCCGAGAGCGTGCCGGGGGGTGCCTGGATCGAGGCACGAGAATGGTTTTTTGGGGGCGTCTTCGCGACTTCCCCGCGGCGTTCTGGCCTCGGGGTGCGTTCCGGCAGCTGCGCCTCGCCGAGAGCGTGCTGGGGGTGCGTGGATCGTCCCGAACGGCCGCCGGAGACTGGAGGTACGAGCCGAAAGACCAAGGGCGGGGATTACCGGGTGGCGTCAGGCAGAGGATGGCCAGTCGAGGCAACGGCAGTTGGCCTTCGGGGCCCCCCCCTGGTCGCCATTGCTGGGCGCGGCTCGGGAAACTGGTGCGCTTGGACCTCGGGAGGAGGGCCGTGGACCGATCGTGAGCTGCCGTTGTCTCAACTCGCCCTGCTCCAAATCATGGGTTCGAGGCTAAGGGGTTTTCCAGGATCTGGGCTCGGGGGTTCGAGGATCGAGACTGGATGCTGGAGGGGCGAGGGTCGGGCGTCGAGGTGCGACGATCGGGGGCTTGAGAATCGAGGCTGGAGGTTCGGCGTCGTCGTAGGGGACTCTGAGGAGACAAATGGCTACGGAGAGGAGCCACTCTCGGCTCAGGCTCGTTGTGCCATCGTACAAGCCAACAGCGTGGGCCTGGGGCCCAGGCCCATGCTGAGGCCGGAGAGCCTCGACATGTCTGGCTTGCTACCCCCGGGAGTTTGGATGTCTCGCCGAGCGCGTTCCACTACTCGCAGAGTGCCTGCTCGCAGACGTCTAAACAACGAATGTAAGTTATCGTAGATCCCCGCGGCGGATCCAGGCCATTTGCGAGTAGTTCCTTTGCGAGTAGTGGAACGCGCTCGTCTAATGTCCCGGTGCTTCTTCGGGGGTGGGGTCGGGAGGTCCTCGTCGCCACGGCCGGACGCACCTCGGCGGAAGCTGGCCAGGGTGGACCCACAAGAGCTGGCTGCTGGGGGGGGATCAGGGACGGCTCGGGAGGAATGAACGGTCTTTCGAGTAGGAGATCGACTCCAGGGATGATTTGCCCCGCATGTTTCGTCGGATCTACGAGACGTGCATCGAATGCTTTGTACATCTACGAAAATGTGTCGCATGTTTCGTTTATTCGTTCTGGGTAACGATTATGTAGTCGATCTCCTACTGGAGTCTTGGGGAATGCCCCGGGGGACCAGCAGGACTTCTTCCCCTCGTGCCAAGTCGAGGCTCGAGGAGGGGTGCTCCTTGGCGTTTTCTTGCATTTCTTGGGCGAGTCCGCTGTCCTCCGGGGGGCTTCCTGGGATCCTCCATGGAGGACTTTTCTGTAAACCTCCCGGGGCCCACGAAGATTTCTGGAGGGGCTCGTAGGATCGAGGAGTTAGGGGAAGGAGGAGGATGGTTAGGAAGGACTCGCTAGACACGCTTAGGTCATATCTGATACCCTACCCCTCCCACCCATCCATTCCCACTTCGCTGACTTCATTCCTATCCGCCGACTCGGGTGTCCTAGGGGGCCGTGATCCTCCAAGTGGCCCCATCGTGTGATGCGTAATCATGCAGGTGAGGTTCGTACATGTGTGCATTTGGCCAGGAGGCCGAGGAGGAGGAGACCGAGGAGGAGGAGGAGGAGGAGGAGGAGGAGGAGGAGGAGGAGGAGGTGACGGATAAGTAGGAGGATGAGCTGGTGGAAGAGCAGGACGATGAGGAGGGAGGAGTAGGAAGAGCGGATACACGTGTTCGACGCCAGAGCCGCAGGTACTGGCCAATGTCCAGCTGGATGTGCACGAACATCAGTGCCTACAGTGTGATAGATGCGTGCGATTTTGCGAGGCAGTCGGTATCGTGTTCAAGTGCGCGTGTTAGACTTCGTACATAGGTATACAGGGCGACATTGGGCAACACAACTCGACCCCGACCCACCCTGCATCTCTCACACACACACACGAGTTGCATGGCTGGTTTTGCATTCGAAGGGGGCGTGTTGTAGCACAGGGTATTTGCTACCCCACATCAGTCAATACTACATCAATCAATACGCTGCCGACGTTGCTCCTTGGCTCATGGAATAAACTGACCACTGTCAGCGTCATTGTACGTGTTTTCATGTCTAACGGCCGCCTCCTAATCCTCCTCCTCATCTGACTCCTCTTGCCGCCATGCCATGTTCCACTGCTCCGTGGCCGCCTCGGCTCGAGGGGCATGCCGTGCTGTAGACGCGTGCCCCGGCGTTGATGCCCGTCCGACGCGCCGTGGCCTTGCCAGTGGAGGCGCTGAATGTCTGCTCGGCGCTGCCCTTGGAGGTGGTTGGCATTCTCCCTCGTCCCCCTCCTCCCCCTCCTCCTCCGCCTCCTCCTCCTCCTCCTCCTCCTCCTCCTCCTCCTCCCCCTCCTCCTCCTCCTCCTCCCCCTCCGTCTCCCCCTCCTTCTCCCCTCTCTTCCTCCTGATCCTTCCCTTTTTACTCCTCCCCCTCTCCTCCCCTTTTCTCCTCCTCGGCTCCTTCTCTTCGTCCTCTTCCTCCTTCCCCCATTTCCCAGCCGTGCTCTTGCTCCCACTCGCCTTTTCGCCCCCGCCCCCCCCTCTCCCATCTTCCCTCCTTCCCTCGCTTCTCGCCTCGTCCTCGTCGTCGGCGTCCTCCTCCCTCTCGCTCCCCTACTCCTCGTCCTCGTCCTCGTCCTCGTCTTCGTCCTCGTCCTCGTCCTCTTCCTCCTCGTCGTCGTCGTCGTCGTCTTCCTCCTCCTCCTCCTCCTCCTCCTCCTCCTCCTCCTCCTGTGCAGGTCTCGGAACCGGAAGTAACGAGCGAGATGGGAGCGGCCGCACGGTATCCGCCGCCGTTTCCGCTCAAGCTGGCCCCGCCCAGACGCTGTGGTGAGGGCCAGCTCTTGCAAGCCGCGCCCCGCGCTGCTGTGGCTGAGCTCGCTTGGGGGCTGTCCACGGGGGCGGTGCTGCGGGCTTCGTCGACACCATGCCCGCCTTACAGCTGCGCGCCGTCGCTCAGCTGCCCGCTGTGCCTTGAGTGCCCGTCACTCCATTGCCCACTCTGCCGGGACTGCCACCTGGAGTGCGGTCTCAGCGGCGTGGCTGCGGCACCGCTGTCGGTGTCCCTCCTCTCCCTGTTCTTCATCCACGTGCTGGTGGTCGTCCTCTGCTGCCTCATCGGGCTCGTGTACGGGGCGTGTCTGCGGGAAGGCGGGCTGCTTGCCAGGCCCAACCCCGCCGCAGCCAAAAGCAAGGATTTTTCCGAGACGCCGGCTGCCCAGTCCGCGGTCAAGGACGCCCTGGCAGCCAAGCAGCTGGCGCAGGTGAGGAATCGCCGCTGAGATGGCGGCGCTCGCGGGCGCGGCGCCTGCCGCGCCTCCCCACGCCCTCTGCGGCAGCAGTGGCCTGCAGAAGGGCGACTTCGTCGTGCTGTACAACGTTGCCAGCCCGAGGATCTGGCATGAGAGAGTGATAGTCTACCTAGCCCCAGGGTTGATGTCCAGCAATGGGGGCGACTGCCTGGCGAGGCCATCGGAGCCGCAGCGGGCTTCATCGGAGCTGCCAGTCGTGTGTATCACTTTCGCGGAGCTCCCTTGCCCGCTGTCGCTTGGGCCCTACGGGACGCGGCCGCCGCCAGGCTCGGCCTCCCAGCGCCAGGCGCCCCGCTCGTGCCCAACACCGGCGGAGCAGCGGAGGCCGTGGCGCCCGCCAGCCCCGCCGCCCCTGGCGGCGGCCTGGCTGGCCGCGCTCGGCGGCCCAGGCGCGGGCCCGGCGCCCGCGGGGGGCCTTGTGCCTGGAGGCGGCGCTCCTGCGGGGGCGGGCGCCCCTGGGTCGGCGGCTGGTGCTGCAGCGGCCGGCGCCTGGGTGCCTCCCCGGCGGCGCCGGCGCCCGCGGCCCCAGCCGATGTTCCTGCCGCGGCCGGCGTGGGGGGCGCGGCTGGCCTGTCCTCTGGACGCCCGAGATGGGTACGGAAAGAATGGGTGCAATGCCCAACAGCAGTTCCTGTTCGTCTTGAACAGGACTCGCTGTCCACGCCGCCGTGGCCTGTGTCCACTCGAGACAGAAGGCCGCCTGTCCAACAGCGGCCGCTGCTGGTTTGGGACAACATTTGTTGTTGGGCATTGTGCCCATCCTTTCCGTACCCATTTCGGGCGTCCAAATGTCTGCGGCTCTCCTGGTGACGTTCGGGCCTTCGGCACCTTCACGGACGCATTTGGGCAGCGGCACAAGTAGTTCAGGGGCGCCACGGCGTGACCCAGAACAGCTACCCCGACTGGACAATTAGAGGCCCAAGTGCTGCGCGGTGGGTGTACCAGTTTATGCTGGCGAATGGCAGGTCCCCCATGGCCCGCCACAACAGATGGCGGGCCGAGTGCTTTCTGGGCGCTGGGGATCAGGTCGTCCCTGGGCACGAGCAGGGCTGCCGGTTACTGAAGATTCTGGCGTGTTGTGACCAGGTCAACTCGCCAGACCCGGCAGCAGCCGAACTCGCCGCTCGTAGTCTGCAGTTGGCAGAGGAAAGGTACCGCGACCGCCTGGCGGGCAACCCGCAACAGCATGAGACGGTCGACAGCAACGTCTATGATGGCACAGATGAGGCGAGAGACAACTGTTGCGTGTGCCCACCGTTGCAGGAGTAGATCAGTATTGAGTTGGGTCAATATTATGCGGCGAGGAGAGATCTTCGGATAGCCTGGGAGAAGAGGCAGCTTGCGAGGCTCAAGAGGGACTCCAAGAGACTTCAGAAGGGCGCTGGCGCAGAAAGTTACTTACAACATCAGCGGCGGCCCCGGGAGCCACGTCGCAGCCGCTAAGTTCCCTTCGAGCCCGCGCGACAACGCGGCATTTTTCGTCAGCCCTGTGTCCTTCGACGGCCGGGAGCAGCGCCGACTGGGCGGAGGGTCCGCAGCGCGGGGGGGCGGCGGCGCATGGATAGGGCACCTTTGGACTGTGCTGACGACGCGACCCACAGTTTGAGTGATTTGTATGGATGCTCGATGGCTTCATCTGGGCCCCCAGAGTCTTTCGCCGATTGCCCTGCTAAGACTACCCAGGCGTTCCTCTCTTCTCCTCGCCTCTCTCAGCCGCCAGCGCCTGCCAGTCCGAGGCCCTGGCCCGCGTCTCCGATCGTTGCGTCCAGGTCGGGCCCCCTCCAGGCGACGTGCGGTTCCTTCGAGGGCGCCTTGGCGCTGGGGTCAAGGTCTCTTCCCCCGACCAGGGCTGCCGCCGCCCGCGCGCCAGGGGCCCCGCATCCTGGCCGAATCTCGGGGCCGTGACCTGCGGCCTGCGCCCCGAGCCCGACCGGCTGTTCATGGCTCGGCGGCCGGCGCGAACCTTGCCTGAGATCGGCGCGGGCGGCCGCCGCCTTGCAGCAGGAGGCTTGGCCGCGAGGTGCTTATGTTTATGCCGTGTTATTGTTGCAGCCCTCCGCCGACGCAACCTTGCTCCGAGGCTTTATCAGCGCGGAACGCTGAGGTAGGAGGTGGCAGCCAGGCGCGTGGGGATACTGGGGTGCTTCTTTCGCAGCTAAGAATAATGGCTGGCTTCGCATCGTTCTCGATACCAGGCGTGTCAACGTGTAAATCAAGACACCACCGAGCACCCGGCTGCCAACCTCGAGTGCGCTGTCCTCGTTGTGAACCCCTGAGAGGCCCGTGTACATCGCTTCCCGGGGCTTGGATTGTGCGTTCTATCGTCTTGGGCCCCCAGAGGACATGGGCCATTTCCAGCCGCCTCCCGCGTTCGATCCCACGTAAGTCGAGTTTCCTTCCTGGGCGGGCCCGTGGTCCCACCTGGTGCCCCGGTCCTGCCCCGCCTCGCCGCCCGGCCCCCATGGGTCGGCGTTGGGCCATGCGCCTATGTCGACAGGTTCGTCGGCGCAGCATTTCCCAAGCCGGGTTCTCGGGTGACTGTCTGGCCGAGGACGGTGGGGCGGGCGCGCGTCTCGATCGGCCCCGGCAGGTCGGCCGTGCAGCTTGCGCTGACTTTTCACGAGCGGCCATGATCGGACGCAGGCTACCAAGAGCACGCAGGCCATCATCGGCCACCAGGGGCAGGGGTCTCTTTGTCCAGGAGCTCGAGGAGGGGTCCGCCGACTGCTCCGTCTTCGGCGCGGAGCTTTATGGGGGCGCGCGGTTGAGTTTCAAGGGGCGGAATGCCTGGGGGGTCAGATTTGGGGTCGACGGGCTTGAATCCCGTCGCGGTTGCAGCGGGGCCATGTTGCAGGTCCCGGCGCGCCGCGCTACCTGGGCGCGTCTGTTGGAACGGCGGGCCCTCGTGTCCCCCGACGCCCGTTGTGCTTTCGTCGTGTCGTGGAAGCTGTGGATGATCCGACGCCTCTTGCCGCTGCTGTGGTTTAATCTCTCCGCGCGCTGGCGCCCTGCGGTGGCTTGTTCGGGCGCGCCCAGTTTCAGCGTCGGAGCCTGCGCTCGCGAGCGGGGGCCATGGGGCGCATGGGCTGGCAAAGCGAGAGGTGGAGATGCAGGGTCGAGGGCGGGGCTCGGGCCCGGCGGTGGGCCCTGTCCCTGGTCGCCCCTGCTGGTGCTGAAGGGCTTCCGTATTCTTCTTCTTCTTCTTCTCCCTCGTCGTCGTCGCGTTCGCTGGCGGGCGCGGGGGGCCCGCTGTCGGGCTCGGAGGGCCCCGACAGCGAACTCGCGATTGCCGCCGCGGTTTTTGACGAGCTTCTTCTGAGCACCTCCGCCGGGCCCTCAGCGAGGTTACCGCTTTGTCCCTAGCCGCGGGGGCCGCGCTGCATGTCCGCTGGTTGCCTGGCGAGTTCGACCCGGCCAACGGGTCCTCCAGCAGGCGTTGCGGATGGTTTGTCGGGCCACGCCGCGGTCGCCCCCGCGCCAAGCCGCCCGGAGGGGCCCCGGGGCCGCGAGCGCGCCCGCCCGCGCGCCAGCCCGTGCGATCGGGCGGCTGGCGGCCCGGACAGTGGCCCAGGCGGCGCGGGCGGCTTCTGCAGCGTCGATCCATTCATCGAGATCTCCGCGGGGGCGGCCCGCGCAGCTGGGGCGCGTCGCGGTCTCGGAAGCAGCGGAGAGGGCCTACCGGCCGCTCCGCCATGGCCCGCCGGCAGCTCCTCCATGGCATTTCTGCGCCCGCTCGAGCCTGGCGGCGGCTTCCTACGTCGGCAGTACGCACCCGGGTGCCCATGTCCCAGGCAAGGGCAGCAAGCTCATCGCTGCCCTGGCCCACTTCGCGCCAGAGATCCACGGGTCGCCGCGGGCGCATTTGCCAGGGTCGTCGAGGGCGCGCGCGTCTTGGGAACGGAGAGTGCCTGGCTCGCAGCAGAGGCCGCCGCTGCCCGAGACGGCGGCGTCGG